TTCATTGGTGAAAATGGAGTTTGCTCTTTGTGAGTTATGGTATTGGATGCTTTTTATATATTCTGAAAAAACTTTTGAAAATTCTAAATCAAGGTCGTCTGTTTGAATAGTATATGTTCTATTATTATGGTTTGGGGAAGTGAATTCTATAGAGTAGATTCCATACTGTTGTGTTATGTTGCATATATCTTTTAGATAGTGATCTATGATTTGTCTTTTGATTTTTACATCGGGGAACTCTGTTTTACATGGACTGATTCCGGGTTCAAATAAATTTACGAGTAAATTTTGACAAAATATGTGTTGTCCTCTATCAGTATCTGCATCTACTATAAAAGGAAAGATTTCATCATCATCTGGAGTTTCGTCACCTGGGGTGTGCGTTGAACTCATTTTTTCGTTCGATGACTGTTAATATGTAATTATTAATGTGTCGAATTGGTTGATTCCAATTGTATAGATGTACTGGTTTGTGTTTATACTGCTTTTTTATTCTTCTTTTTCCTCTTTGTGATGAATTTGAAGTTGTTTCTGAGTCAGAAAAATATAATTGATCGTGTTGTGGGCAATTTTTATCTATTGATTCTTTTAGTTTGTAAAGTTCGTCTAAACTGTTGGTTTCTGATTCTGAAAATGCGTTTCGATTTTTTGAAAATCTTTTTCGTGTTATTTGTCTTTGTTTAGTTATTATTTTTCTCTTTAGTGTTTGTCGTTTTGTTCGAATGTATCCAATTGTTTGTGTATGAGGTGTGATTACAAGGTCGTATTTTTTGTTATCTATTTCACAATTGTGTAAAATGATTGTTTGTTTATTTCCTAGGTTTTTAAATGACATAAGGTTTAGAATGACGGATGCAAAAGGTTGTTAAATGATTTCTATTGACTTAAACTGTTAGTTCTTACGATTTTTTGGTTAGCTTAACCTGGGTCTAGTTGTTCAGGGTTGGAGAGAAAAGTATATCGATTCCGAAGAATGATTTTTACTTTCTCGTGACTAGTATAAGCTAAGGTGTTAACTTACTTAATCTTACTTAGGGGTAGTGATTGTGTTCAAGGGTTGGAGAATAGTAAATCGATCCACAAGGTTCAGGTATAATTAGAACGCGAGTAGTTCGTTAGATACTATTTTAAACTTACTAAGTCTAAGATTTATCCTGGGTCTGGTAAGAGGAGGGGTCAAGTGAAGGATGAATAACCGAAGTTCTTCACTGTTTATCCTAATTTGAATGATTAGTTTTGTTTAAAAATTTCTATTAGTCTTGGGTTTTTAGAAAGGGTTGGGTAGTGAATCGACGTTTGAGGTCGTTAGACACTAATTAAGTGGGTGGGGGAGAACAAAGTTGTTCTGTTTGATCCAAGGATAAGCCTTGATGATCAAATTTAAAATTTAATTAAGTAGAAAATGATTTAAGATCCAAGGATAAGCCTTGATGATCTGATTTTAAATTAAGTGACTTTAAATTTTAATAAAGTTTTAAATTTGTGTAAAGGAAAGATTTAGTGTTTTGATGATATTAGTGGGTTTATGATTGCTGTTATGTTTTAGGTGATGAAGCTGGAACAACAGGATGATTTATGATTACTGACCATTTATTGTCATGCTACTAATTTTTATTTTTATTTTCCAATAAATATTCTTCAAACATGTTTTGTATAATACTGCAGAATTTTAGGAAAACGATCTTAGATCTTTTTATCAATCGTTATTGTATAATATTAATTTGTTTAGCGCCTGAAATGATTTTGAAGATTTACTTCAAGGTTTTATGTTTGCAAATGGAAATCTAAATTCATTGCAAGTAGTATTCGAAATATAAAAGTTTGTTCTGGCTTTTGCCGAACTATCATATAACTATACGGCAAGTTTCTACTTTGTCGTATGTCGTCTTTGGTTCGATGTCTTCTTCCAATTCCGGGTAGTTCTATTATGGCTCGGAATATTGGCTCTGATCTATTGAGTCGGAGAGACATTTCAATTAAATTATTGTCGTATAACATTTTGTAAATGTTTTTGTCTAATTTCTAATCTAATTTTGGTTAATTCTAATCTAGTAAGGTCTTGTTCGAGACTTATGGTCGCACCAGATGAGTTAAGTCTGGGGTGTATAACTCATAGAGTAATTTCGGATAGGGTACACCGTCTGCTCGTCACGCTATCTTATTTTCGGCCGGATAGATTCGTGCAACTTCTTAGTCTAATACCGATCCTAATCTTACTCTTATACTATCTAGTCTCAGGTTGTTTAACTAGTCTCTGCTAGGCTCAATAGATCTAGGGTATACTGGTTTATTGCGGCTGCTGAAGTGCTCGGGAGAGTCCAACTAATTTCTAAGTTAAATTCAAATCTCTCTGGTGCTGAAATTACAAGTAACTTCAGCACTTACAAATAAGTGGGTTGTTAGTTAGATGGATCATGATTGGTTAATATTAAATACTTTACATTGGTAAAACATTTAATTTATCCAATCATAAAATATAGTTTAGATCAGGTTCCAAATAAAAGTCAAAAAACGAATAATTTGTCTGGAGAAATTGAAACATCTCAAGCAGAAGCACAATTATTCAATCACAATTTTCAAAAAATTGGAACTAAGATAACTGAGTTTGCCTTAATTCGGTATCAATAAATCAACGTTTTAGTAATGCTTTAGTCCTTTAGTAGTTTTTTAGTATCTCTTGGTGTCTAAAATCTAACTTATGCGGATGTAATTCTAAGGCTGGTACAAAACAAGCCCAAACTGAAATTTTTTTTCTGAACTTAGAAATGTGCTAGGCCTGATCTAACTTCATGTTTTGATTTAATAACAATTGGTGATTTTTTTCCAATATTCCGTCAAAGTTTTAAGAAGTTTCAAGAGTTGGAACAATGATATCTGAGTTCACCTTGATCCGGTATTCATCAACCAATTCTTTAGTACTGCCTTAGTCCTCTAGTATTTTTTACAATCTCTTGGTGTCTTTAATTTGATTTCAAAGGATGCATGTCTGAGGCTGGTACAGAACAAGCTGAACCTGAAATTTATTTGCAAAAAAAAAAATGCTTTTATGTCATGTTTTGATTTAATTTCAATCAGTGAATGTTTTTGAGCTGAGAAAACTTAACCTTTTTTGAATAGATGTCATCAATAATTGCGTCGCAATTTTAACAGCTGAAACAATGATGTCTGAGTTTGCCGTGATTTGGTATTCAGCAATCAATTGTTTATTACTGCCTTAATCCTCTAGTTTTTTCTTAGAATCTCTAGGTGTCTTAAATTTAATTTAAAATGATGCATGTCTAATGCTGGAACAGAATAAGCTCAAACTGAAAATTAATTGTGAAGTAGTAAGAAAACCCTAGGCCTATTTTAACCTCATGTTTTGATTGAATTACATTAGTGTGAACATTTTTGAGCAGAGAAATTTTTTTTTTGAATAGATGCCATATTTAAAAAAAATTGTCCAAATTTTCAAGCTGACTGAAGTTTGAAAACTTTCTCATTAATGCGTAGTTGTCCTTGCGAAAGACAAAAAAGCCTATTTTGTTAACCAACATTCTTTTTCAATATTAGTCTTTTAGTTTGAAGAACGTACTTGGACAAATCTGAGATACATCTTCAAGAATAAATAAATTTGGGTGAGCAATCAATTTTGATCAACATTTTTGTGAAAACTTGGATGAAACAAAAAAACTATCGAGTGACTTATATACCGATGGAGCGTCTGATATATGATTTGTCTTTTGCTGAGAGTTTTACTGAGGATTATTTGATCGTTTTAATGTGTTTACCCTGGTTTTCCTCCATACACCGAAAGCTCTAGTCATGCAACTGCATACCATTTGTCTATGAATAAAAGCTAGCCATCCTATGATAATTGTATGACTAGCGTTACTTTGGAAAACTAAAATTCTAACCTTCCACAAAAAACCTTTTGCATATTTCATGTCCAGAACAAAACCAATTCTGTATTCCAAAAAAAAGGTAGAAACTTACTCCAATTGCTCACAATTTTTTTTTAAAATTGGATTCAATTTGGACTAATTTTTTCTTTTTGATAAAAACGCACCCAATTCGGCCAGCTAAAAATCACCCAAAAATGTCAATCGGCGAAAAAAACTACAGCAGAACTTGTTTGGGCCTACTGGAATGAGTTTAATACTCTTACAGCGACAGCTATTTATTTCTTTTTATAACCCCATAATGGGTTTTTATGAGAGTTTAATTGTCGTTCTGACCAATTGGCAAGTATAATTCAGCATTACTGTGTTTGGAAATAAACACAAAAGTTAAGGCGGTCAATTAAAACTAACAAAAAGCCGGGGTTTTTCATAATTTTTGGAAAATGCTAGTTTTGTAACTCCATATACGATGAAAAATTGATTCTAATGCAATATTGTACTATGAAAAACACTCTTCATAGAGCTTCATAAAAGATTTTAAATAAAATGAAAAATGTATGACTAACATTTTTTGTTAAACCTGGATCGTACAATTTTTTCAAGGACTCAAAAATTTGAATCAAATATGGGAACAACGCCGTTGTTTTGGGAGCACACTAAAACATGTATTCATAGCTGGACACACTATACTTTCATTTACTAGCAACCCATCGCTCTTCGAATACAAGGGTTGCCAAATTTCCCCCAAAGGTCCCTTCATTTGATACCATTTAACAATAGCTATTTCTAGCTAATAGTCGAATACCGTAAACGTTTCTGAAGGCGCTATTGGCGTCAGTATATACTTCTTACAAGGAGGGAGACGCAATTTAATCGGTCAACACCTTCCAAAAAAGCTCAAGAACGGCACTGAAAATGGCCATTTTGGGGTTTTTGAAAAGCTCAAAAGCCATTTTAAAAAACATCGAAAATTTTTTGTTACCCGTCAAAACTTTTCGCAAGCCACAAATTTTGGTCATTTAGTGGCACGGAAAACTATGGAAATTAACTTTTGACAGCATAAAAACTTCAGATATATTTGAATTCAAATCACAAGTTTAGTGACTACTCAAATCTAACCTGGAGGTGAGTTTTCGAAGGCGTCCCACCAACATGATCCCCTTACCAGCAGATTTGAACGAATTCCGACCACTTCCTACACTGGTACCCGTATGAGTGTTTCCACTTAAAGTTTCAGATGAAAAACCAACCAAATTGCTACTTTCGTTGCCGCTGTCGGCGCGGTTGTTTTTAAACTCTCTGTTGATATCAGTGGAAGCTACGATTGGTTTGCTTTCCTCTTTTGTTTCGATTTTGGCTGAAGAATCTTTTTGAATTTCATCTGCACTTAAATTACTTTCAGCTGAAGTATTAAGGGGGGCACTTTCGTCTTGAGGCAAGGAAGACCAACGCACGTTTGAATTGGTAGAGTTATTGATTTTTTTGCTAGTACCATCTGCAGTGGATGATGAACTAGCTAAATGCATTTTGTTGTTCTCCACTCTTAAACTTTTAAAATATATCACAAGATAATTCAATTGGAAATAAAGGAATGCAAAATAAAAGAGTGTAAATTTAATCAGGTGCGCTTTCAATATTTTAGAGAACTTCGAACTATATTTTTTGGCAATTTAATTTGGTTACAAAAATCTTTAAAAGCGTCGTAGCCAGACTGTGGTTTGTCTTATTGCTGAAGTATTCAGTCTCAAATGTATTTGAAAATTAGAAGCACAACTGCAGCGTAAACTTGAAAAATCTAAGTAGGATTTGTGTCAAAAATGAACTCCAAGTCTGAAGATGTAACGCTATGCTACAATGCACACAAAAATTGTTGGTCAAACAGCTAACAATGGTGTCACATAACCATCAGCTTGTTATGAATTATATATAATATTTTAGTAGCATTTGCAGTTTTTGCTTTTAAACTGATTCTTTTGTTCTCTTTTAAATCTTTTTTACGATGGTAAGATAAACAAAATGAACAAAATAAAACAATTTATGAAAAGACTTGAAGTCAAATGTTCAGAGACAATAACAGCACCTCAAATGTCAAATTAAATCTGCCTTCAATTTAATTTACAGAAGAAGGGTCTTCAAATTGGTGACATATGAAAGAATTCACTCTCTTCAATCTCTCTCAAAACGAGTCTTATAGTATCTCAGTTTTCTCTAAAATAATACAGAATGGGAGGAAATATTTCAGGCAACAGGGAAGAAAACGCTTGATAAGAGAGGGTATTAGTAAATGGGAAATAAGCTTTGGTTCTGGGGTAAGAGATTCGCTGATTGTATTTTCCTCTACGGTTGGGTGGAAAAAGGATATTAGGGTAGGGGCTCCGTTTCTTAAATTATACCGCTCAGAGCTAAGAAAATACAAAAAAAAATCAAATTGCATATCTCTGATTGTCTTAAAAAGTCACAATGAAAACAGGCCGTTTGGCTTATCAAAAAAGTGTGAAGCTTTTGAATATTCCCAAAAAAAACGAGCTGATAAGTTTGGTTTATTATTATTTTTTATGCAAACAACTATTTTTGCGTTTTTCAGTTGATGATTTCTGAAAACTGGACGGAAAAAAGGTAGACACAATGAGTCTAAATCAGTAATTGGGAATACAGCAAATGGATTAATTTTCTTTTATTGAGAAGGGAGTTTGCCCATAGGCGGATTAGTAGGAATTAGAGGAGCGGTTATTCTGTCTTGATTTTCAGACACAGATTGAAAAGGTTTAAATTTTAATGCAGCATAGACCATACCATATGCCGTAACATTGCGAGGCTATGCTTTGCCCTGAATTAGGCCCAATATTAACCGGAGTTTTTTCAAATTCCCAGAAGTTTTTGAGAGATATTAAAATTCAATATAAAAGAATCCAGATTTAGGCCAAAATATTCTGAGGATTTTGGTTAGAGGGCATTTGTCTGATTTATATATATTTCTGATTTGTATTTTTCTGAATTATCTTCTTTAATCTCTTTATGAGCTCCGAGTCAGTGTCGTAAAAATGTTCTTTAGCCTTTAAAACCAGTTCACGTTTTGCTCCTGTCCTTTTCATTTATCATATAATTTGGCCTCTTTTCCTCACTCGCCCTGATATCAATTTACATCTATCATTTTAGCCTGAGTTTTGAGTACTAAACTAAATTTCCCTCGTTCCCTCGAGAAAAATTCAATTAAAATTGTCTATAAATAGGCCAATTTTCAATTAGGATCAATGATTAGGATTAGAAAAAAAAGGGGCCAAAAAGGGAAATAACATTGAATGTCAAAAGGAGCTCAAAAGGGGTACTAAAAAGACCTGAATTTGGTCCATACATCATTAGAAAGAGCAATTAAACGACAACCGTGACTTAGTTATTTCCATTTGAAAGAAAAAAAGGTATGTTATAGGAAAAAAAATGAAGGCACAGCACTATGTTTTAAACACCATCTAAAAATCATGTGATTTCATTTGATTTCATTTTTTCATGGCTCTCTTCAAAAAATATTAAAAACGCCAATTTGTGCTGACTTCAAACTATCCCATGGTCAGACGAATAAATTAAGCTGGTCGAAATCAGACAAAGCCGACTTGGTACCATATACTGATTAATTTTTCGGGCAATTATTCAACTGATGTTTTGTGATGATCCGTTGTGAAGTCATTTTAGGTCACCTTCTCAAATCAACCGCCGTCGTCTCTCAAACTGCAGATAAAACATCTGATCAAAGATCAACATCTAACCTCACTGCCGGAAACCTAGTTGCCCTTACTCTGAAATTCAACAGGTTATGGAACCCCATAAATTTATTCGAATTTTTCTATCCAAGAGCCGATTCAGGATAGTGATTAGCAAAAATGATCGACCAGAGGCTAAAGATGAAGTTTTGGATGAAGTTTTGGATGAAGTTTTGGATCAATGGGCTGCCTTGCAACGTGGGAAGAAAGCAGAAAAGATTGCCTCTTTTGGGTTTCTTTTTATGCCTTCTTGTCTCTCAAAAAAGCCAACTAGTGGATTAGCTGCACAGAAGCCAGTGGTGGCAACCTGGACTTTTTGCAAAGGACTTCAAGCTGGAGAAGGCAGTTTTCTCCAGAGGCTCTGCAGCAGCCTTAACAAAAGGGAAAAGCAAACTCCTTACTACTAGAAAGTTTCATGTGCGAGAGTTATTTTTTCCCACCTTTGAGAACTGGGATGAGACAACAGTGGAGAACCAAAAATTAACTAAATTGCAAACTGAGGGCAAGGGGTCTCGGACTGCAAAACCAAGTGTCGGACGGATGAGTTTAAGCACAGCGATGGCTAGAGGCTCGTCATACTTACAGTGGACTCTTTTTAACAGCTACTGGTATTAAATAGTAAGTAGTTTACTGTGAAACACCGTTGTCAGCTGTTTTGAACATCCTAAGTTGAATGTTCAGGCTTACGAATTGACAACTGGATTAACTAAAAAAAGTCGGATTCGAAATAAATTGCAATCATTGGCACGCCAAGTCAGCATAGCTTCAAAAAAGCAAAAATTAGCTCTACCAAAAAAAACTGACCACAAGACTTGAACAGATAAGCAGTGGATATTTAAAAAAAAAACCTGTCGTTAATTGAAGTTTGGAGTGTGCATCGTGCCAGCATGTATTGAGTATGTCCAACAACTTCAAATGGGTGTCAATTGAAAACCATCCGGTGACAAAGAGAGACGCTTTAATGAAATTTCAGATGTTGCAGGCATATTACTGAAAACTGAAGTTGAACATGAGTATTCTCCCAAAAGCTCCTTACAGAATCTAAAGAGAAGTCCGCGTGAAGCAAGGCTTCTCAGTGCAAAAACGTTTAAAAATATTGTAACAGAGCGTTATTGCAAAATTGAGATCTACTAACAGAAGCAGAACCTACAGAGATACTCTGTGCGCAGGCGATGTCAAAAAGTGTCCGGATCCGCAATTATTTCAAATTCCACCCCATTTCACTGATTCATTTTGAGACATCACCGTTAAGAAAGTTTACTTGCGTGTTTTCCGGTGCCTGGTGCAAAATCTGGACAGAGGCTGTTGGCAAAATTTATATTCGAAAGCAAAAAATGCAAATTTGTTGGATGTGACGAAAAAAGCAAAACCTGATTGCGGAAAAAATTAGAAACAAGATTTGTGGCACGTAAAGGAAACGTGATTTGATTTGAGGACCTGACTAAAAAATGTTGTTTGGTTTTTTGTGAACCATTGCAAGCCCTAGGATAAAAATATTTTGATGCAATGGATTAAAGCATAACAACACGATAATGGAAAAAGCAGCTTCAAAGATATGCAGCTTGAAGGGATTTAACCTGGAGGATCCGATGGCGATAAAAACTGTAAAGCCACTTTCTACTGATCATCTAGTGCAGTGGTCAACTAGGAAACTGAACTCGCCTGAAAGTTAAAGACTCGCTTGATTTCATATTTCAAGAATTAAAGTCCACAAACCAGTTGGCTGTTCAGAAGCAGCGTCTGAACAGGAGATGAAGAATTTTCAAGCAATGGCATCATGATTACTTAATATAGACCAGAACCTCGCATAATTTTTGTTTTTGATGTATTTTTTCTCCAAACAATCGAAAAAAATTTTTCTATGCCAATTTTCAATGGGCTGCCTTGCAACGTGGGAAGAAAGCAGAAAAGATTGCCTCTTTTGGGTTTCTTTTTATGCCTTCTTGTCTCTCAAAAAAGCCAACTAGTGGATTAGCTGCACAGAAGCCAGTGGTGGCAACCTGGACTTTTTGCAAAGGACTTCAAGCTGGAGAAGGCAGTTTTCTCCAGAGGCTCTGCAGCAGCCTTAACAAAAGGGAAAAGCAAACTCCTTACTACTAGAAAGTTTCATGTGCGAGAGTTATTTTTTCCCACCTTTGAGAACTGGGATGAGACAACAGTGGAGAACCAAAAATTAACTAAATTGCAAACTGAGGGCAAGGGGTCTCGGACTGCAAAACCAAGTGTCGGACGGATGAGTTTAAGCACAGCGATGGCTAGAGGCTCGTCATACTTACAGTGGACTCTTTTTAACAGCTACTGGTATTAAATAGTAAGTAGTTTACTGTGAAACACCGTTGTCAGCTGTTTTGAACATCCTAAGTTGAATGTTCAGGCTTACGAATTGACAACTGGATTAACTAAAAAAAGTCGGATTCGAAATAAATTGCAATCATTGGCACGCCAAGTCAGCATAGCTTCAAAAAAGCAAAAATTAGCTCTACCAAAAAAAACTGACCACAAGACTTGAACAGATAAGCAGTGGATATTTAAAAAAAAAACCTGTCGTTAATTGAAGTTTGGAGTGTGCATCGTGCCAGCATGTATTGAGTATGTCCAACAACTTCAAATGGGTGTCAATTGAAAACCATCCGGTGACAAAGAGAGACGCTTTAATGAAATTTCAGATGTTGCAGGCATATTACTGAAAACTGAAGTTGAACATGAGTATTCTCCCAAAAGCTCCTTACAGAATCTAAAGAGAAGTCCGCGTGAAGCAAGGCTTCTCAGTGCAAAAACGTTTAAAAATATTGTAACAGAGCGTTATTGCAAAATTGAGATCTACTAACAGAAGCAGAACCTACAGAGATACTCTGTGCGCAGGCGATGTCAAAAAGTGTCCGGATCCGCAATTATTTCAAATTCCACCCCATTTCACTGATTCATTTTGAGACATCACCGTTAAGAAAGTTTACTTGCGTGTTTTCCGGTGCCTGGTGCAAAATCTGGACAGAGGCTGTTGGCAAAATTTATATTCGAAAGCAAAAAATGCAAATTTGTTGGATGTGACGAAAAAAGCAAAACCTGATTGCGGAAAAAATTAGAAACAAGATTTGTGGCACGTAAAGGAAACGTGATTTGATTTGAGGACCTGACTAAAAAATGTTGTTTGGTTTTTTGTGAACCATTGCAAGCCCTAGGATAAAAATATTTTGATGCAATGGATTAAAGCATAACAACACGATAATGGAAAAAGCAGCTTCAAAGATATGCAGCTTGAAGGGATTTAACCTGGAGGATCCGATGGCGATAAAAACTGTAAAGCCACTTTCTACTGATCATCTAGTGCAGTGGTCAACTAGGAAACTGAACTCGCCTGAAAGTTAAAGACTCGCTTGATTTCATATTTCAAGAATTAAAGTCCACAAACCAGTTGGCTGTTCAGAAGCAGCGTCTGAACAGGAGATGAAGAATTTTCAAGCAATGGCATCATGATTACTTAATATAGACCAGAACCTCGCATAATTTTTGTTTTTGATGTATTTTTTCTCCAAACAATCGAAAAAAATTTTTCTATGCCAGGAGTTCATCAATTTTTTCACTTTTAATTAGTTTTCGTAAAATTAATCATC